TATCGTGAACCAGTGATGCACAGTTATTACCAAAGACGCACCCGTTGCTAGATTGCGCACCCTCTTGGTCCAACTCGGAGCCCATAGACCTACCTTTGAGTTCCACATGAGTGCCACGTGCATACAATTGAAAACAAAGTAAGCATTGCTGGAATTTACTCAAAGCAACTATCCGTGTTTAAACTTAAACATGAACTTATCTTAGTTGAAATTATAAATCACAAAAATCACCAATTTTCGGTATTCACAATTCTTCAAATAAAGGATGTATTAATCTATGTACGAAGATTTTGTTTTATTTTGGAAGCTTTGGTCTGTAATAAGAACAATTCATTACAACGTGAAATTATGCGATCCCATATAAGTGCACCTATAAATAACACAGTACAGAGATATTATAGAATAATAAAAAAAATATAAAACTGGGTAATAAAGCTTCAAACAGACCATCGGTGACCTTCGAAATCTTACTTGGAAAGAATATTTATATGCTTGTTCCTATATTTTCATCGCAATGAACTCCTCCGAATGTGGTGCCCATAACTTGATTAAAAAACCTTTTAAGCAGAAAGGGAATACCACAGTCAGACTTTTCTGCCACGGCCGCAATGGACCTCCACGACCATGACGAATGGTCGATAACGATGGTGACAACAACACCAGCAAACAACTGGGGAACTTTTTTGCGAGTCACCACTTTCCGGTTATTTCATAAAACACAGTAAATGGCCATCAGTCCAAAGGATAGACCTAAATTAAAATAAAGTATGTTGAGGTGTTTTTGAATCATTGAATCTGGCCTAACTGTCGCTTGATATCATGTCAAAAACGAGTGCCTGATCGACTAGTATTTTAATACCAGTCGATCAGGCACTCGTTAGTTAATATTCTAATCTTATCTTATAAGTTATAAGGTGTAGCTGTGGCCCAAAGCATTTCTGGGCTGCAAGCATTTTAATTAAAATTTTCCACCTTTCCCAATCTCCTATTCCTTTTCTGCAGCTGATGAACAGGTTGGACACTTACTTCACATTGACACTGAATGCTTTGATTGAAACTTTCTTCAATGTAATTTAGTGACAGATACTAAACTACCCAAGCGGCTGGAACATTGGCAGCAAAATGACTCTGCGACTATCATGTAGTTATGCACAATTACCAGTCAGATGTATTACCAAGGGATCTGTGCTGCTAGAAGTAGAGGGTACCATCTACTCCTTCCAGATCCATGCTCCTGGATCCACCCCTGGAGTACAATGTCATTTCGCACCTATCTCCTAGTCAGACGGTCCGCCAAAGGGCACATATTTTACAGTTCAACTGAGCTTCAATGGATTAAACACTCATTGACATCAGTTAACATAACATCTGTTACTATTTCTATCCCTGATAATGTCTTCCAACCTCTAATGTTGTCTGCCTTCATTTTTTCCGTCCCTATTTCCAGAGACTTACGACTGATCGGTCTGGGATGACGTACCAAAAGAATTACTTCCTGATGCTCCCGTATCAAATCCGAACGACCAGTTCTAGTAATTGAAACATCCATTGATAGGCCTGTAGAATAGTCTTGTTGCAGAGAAGCATGTGCAGGAAATATTCCTGAGGAAACTGTAGGTCTGGGTTAGAGCAATCCGACATTGCCCACTGCCTTTCATAAGGAATATTTGTGATTTAATTTCCTTTTTCAAAATGTCCAAATGGTTGTGTTTATCTGAGGATGGAATATCACGTTCGACCATTCTAACATCTTTCACTGTCGTTAAATGTTGGGATGTTACTTTAAGACCCCCGGTGTTACTTGTAAAACACTCTAGTGCATTCTGTAGGTGTGGTAAGTACAGTGGTGTTAAAGTTGGGACGACTAGGCGATTATAAGGAAGCACGTATCGTTTAATTTACTTGACTTCCGCCCCATTTCACGAGGCAGGGCAAAAGCTATAGTCTCTACCAATTTTTATGACAAAATCTGAAAAAATGATGTTTATTATTTGTATTTTTTTCAGTTTCTTCCTTTTAAGAACATTTCTCTGTCGAAATGTCTTTCACAAAATTCAGATACAGAGAAATCCAAAATGTAGGTGCATTCAAATGATTTTCTATAAATTCAAGTTTCAATTGCCATTTCCAGAATGGTTGGGTGGAGCCTCCTCTTCCCCCTTCCGATTTGGGTCGTCCAAACTCTTCCCAAACACTGTCAGAGAAAAGAGGGCAGACTGTCGGATATTTACGACGGTTGCTGGTGGTCTATGCTTGCGTATATGATTAGTGGCTCTGTGCGGATGGGCGGGGCTTCGGCAGGATGTGCCCGGGTGTGGTTGAGTTCCGCATATACAAGGGATTCCTGGAGAAACAAAGTAGACAGGGTGTTTGAGACGACGGGCTTTTAGTTTGTTGCGGATTTGTCTTGAGGGTGTTGCGGTTTGTGCGATGTATTGGGTTTTGTTCTCTGTTCCCTGTCTTTTTTCAGTTCTCTGCTGATTTTGTGTTTGTGTCTTCTTGCTCTATTCCAAATGCCATACGCTTTGTATTGAATTCTTTCCCTCCGATGCTCCACAAGAATAAACATAATCACATGATATCAAAACTGAACATACACAAACATCTTATTGAGGCTTTTCAGTCACGTGATTTTTAACGGTCAGCATT